AAAACCCATTAGGAGCATTCTGGGAAGCTTCAGCTGGAGGAAATACGCTACTCTGTAAAAAGACAATCTTAAGACCTTCAGGTTGGATGGGCCACATGTAGACATTCTGAACGATAGCCTGGTTGAACAGCCAGTTGGGAGTGAGTCATCTTGAATGTGCTAATGAGGCAAACCTTCAGACTGCAGCCACATCAACATCTGATGACAATCCTTTGAGACACCTCAAGTGAGAACTTCCTGCCCAACTTTTCTCAAGTTCTTATCTACAAAATTCTGAGCTTAAAAAAGTAGTTATAAGGCACTGAGTTGTGAGGTAATTTGATATATAGCAAGAATCATTGGAACAGCAATTTTCAATCATATCTGCTTATATGAGCATGAAAATAATAGTGATATGTGCATATAAAATAAAGTAAATAATGAGATATTTGGTCACAAACGAGTTAATACAGATTCTGAATTTGATGATTGCATTTCACTTTAAACCCTATAGTTGATAAGATAAAATGATGTCAAGGTGTCAAATTTGGTTTCTATCACTTGATCTAGGGAAACACACCATTCAAGAAGGACAAATTCTCCTGTTTCTACATTCTGAGGGAAACAGACTTACATCAATCCCTAAATAATAGAATTTAAGCAATGTGCACTCATTTATTCAGTAAATATTTTTGAGGACTACTAAAACCAGATATTATGTTAGTAACTTTGTTTAAAATGAACAGTATCCTTTTCTATTGGAGCTTACAACTTTGGAGTTATGGGAGTCAGAATTCATTTATAGCATCTCTTATTTTTAAATTATTCAGACTCAGTGAAAAATTTGAAGTACAGTATAATGAACCTGCATTTATTGATTTTATCTCCTTTACCTAAGTTTGTGAATTAGTATTTTGTTAAACTGTTTTCTCCTCTTCTTCCTCCTGCTCCTTATTCCCTTTCCTTTTATTCCTTTCCTTTCCTTTCTCTTTCCTCTCCTCTCCCATTTTTTAAAGGATATGATATGGGAATAAATTCTAAATAGGCTGCTTCTATCAATTAATGGGGTAGACATTCAAAAGTTACATCAAATGTAAAAATATGCCCACAAGTTAGGCTATTTTTCAAGATATTAAAGGGAATATTTAATGTGAAACTAATTCAAATTGTGTGATGAGGGGAGCCCTATTTGAAGATTTGAAATAAAACCAAGATGGATAAGAAAGCATCCAGGAAGAAGAGCCAAGTGGGAGGGTAGGAGAGCATGCTGTGTTCAAAGATTTAGAAGGTGATTGCCAACATATAGAGCAAAGTGGAAGCCTGGTTTCATAGGACTTTGGAAATTTAGGTAGAAGTCAGGTAATATGTGGTCTTGATGGTTATTTTATGAAAATTGCATTCCATTCCAGATGTGACAGTCACTGAAGTGTTTTAAGCGACTATATGATGGGATTTAATTAACATTTATTTAACATGCACTCTGAATGCTGTGTAGAAAGGTCATTGGAATAGCCAAGAATATAAGTTAAAAAATACTGGGCTCTTACAGTATAAAATAAAATAGGATAGTGGCTTGGACTGTGCTATGGATAGAAAGAAACATATTTAATTAAGATATATTTTTAGCAGATTTATTGAGATACAGTTCACATACTTTATAATTTACCAATTTAAAATGTGCAACTCAATTGTTTTTAGTACATTCACAGATATGTGCAATCATCACCAGAGGCAATTTTAGAATATTTTACCATCCCCAAAAGACACCCTGTAGGGTTTAGCATTGACCTTCTGTATCCCACTCCACACCACCCCCATCCACCCAACCATAGGGAGCCACTAATAAACACTATCTCTATAGATTTCCATGTTCTGAGCATCTCATAGGAATGGAATCATATGTGATCTTTTGTGACTAGCTTCTTTCATTGAACATAACATTTTCAAGGTTCATCTATATTGTACCATGTATTAGTGTTTCATTCTTACGTCTGAATCATATTCCATGTATTTACATACCACATTTTGCTTATATTATTTGTCCATTGATAGACATTTGGGTTGTTTCCAACTTTACCTACTATGAATAATTCTGCTATAACAGTCACGTAAAAATTTTTGTGTAGATCAGATTTCATGTCTCTTGAGTGGAATTTCTGGGTCTTATGGTAACTCTGTTTAATCATTTGAGGGACTGGCAAACTGTTTTTGAAGGAGCAGTACTATTTTACATTCCTATCAGCAGCGTATGAGGGTTCTGATTTCACATCTTCATCAACACTCGCGATCACCTGACTTTTTGATTCTAGCCATGCCAGTGAATGTAAAGTGGTATTGCATCATGGTTTTGATTAGCATTTTCCTGATGACTAATGAATTTGGCTATCTTTTCATATGCTTGTTATCCATTTGTATGTTTTCTCTGGAGCTTCTTTGAATAAATATGGGTATGATTCCATTAAGAAGTGGAAAAAAATCAGAATAGACAGTCACTAAAGAGAAGTCCCTATTATGGAAATAAGTAGAACATAGTAGACAAATGAAGAAACAGAGGAAAAATATATATACGACAACTATAAATCTGTTATAAATTTGATGGCAGAAAGATGCCTTCCTTCTTTTTTCAGACACACCAGCTGAAACTGAGATGGGAAAAAGGGATTTGAGGAATGTTATAATAGAATGAAATTGACTTTGTACTGTTGGAAAAGCATAGTTACTAGGAAAAACAAAAACAAAAACAAAAATACAGGTGTTCTGGGTAGAGTCCCCATTTCAGGCCAGTAATTATGAAATAAAGTAATTAAGGAAAGAATAACAAAAGGATGTAAAGATTAAAAAGTTATCATAATACTAATAATAGTGATTGCTAATATTTAATGCAACCTGCAGTGTTCCAGGAATTGTTTTAAGCATTTTATATGGATTAACTAACTTATTCCTTATATCAACTCTATAAGAACTATCATGTTCATCTAACAGATAAGGGAACAAAGACAGAAGTAAACTTTCTGAAAGTCATATAGCAAGATCTGCAAGATCACTATATGTGACTTTTTATTGATTTGGGGAACATGTTATAGTAAGAAATTTAAATGAGTGATTCAAGAGAGAGTTCAGTTTATTATAATGAGAGGCACAGTGTGACCATGATAGGGTAAGGTAAAGGAAAATTCTTTGGAGTTGAATATGGTAAGGAGTAAGATGAGATATACAAAGGGTACTGAAGTTATCATAGAATGGAGTTGAAGTTAAGTACTATGGACTACGAGGTAAGGTCTATAATGAAGGAAGTAATGCCTGAGACTTTGGTTGAAGATCATTAAGAGGGTCTACAGAGCAGGTATGTAGCTAAATGTTGAGAATTTCAATGATAGAAGAAATAATAATCTGGAAGCAACAAAGGAGAGCAAAGAGACTATCAATCCTCCTCTCAAATTTCAGATATATAGCATGTCAAAAAAAATAGCTTCTTATTGAAAGGACTGCAGGCAATGGTATATCAAAGAGGAAAATTGTTCCATTTAAGGAACATGTAAGGGGAAAATTCAGAAATGAGTTTAAGACTATATGGTATTTGATGAGCAGACAGTCCAGAAAAAAAAATGGGGAAACAGGCTGGGGAGAGGAGATTAATCAGGTACATTCATTAATTGGATAGATGGGAATGAGAGCTCAGAAACTAATGGATGAGCAGAGAGGTTTTTCATTCTCATACTGACAGAAATAAGTAAGGATGATGTGACATTTGGTGGATTTTATCTTGCTTGTGCTCCATATGTGGCTGGGCATTTTAAGACCTGTGACAAAAGGGTATTGGCCTGGACAATAGAGGCTATGGGTATAATTGTTTTTATCCTTTCAAATGGAGAAGAATATCTTAATATGGTGAAAATTAGTTTTGTATGGGATATCTCACTTTATCTTCTTCCTACCAATAATCCTGACATTTACTCCTATTAAATAGTAGAAACAATATTAGAGTTTCCCAGGCAAATATGAGTGCAGAATTGTAGAAAGTTTCCAGGTGAATCAGAGGACCTAGGTGCCTCACATTTCATCTTTAGAATTGTCATATTATGACCTAACAACTGATGCTAATAAGTATTAGAAATAGAGTAAATAGTTTCTCCAAAAAAATCCTAATTTTTTCATCTGCCACCCTACGCCCTTTTTCTTATTTTTGTATTTGGCCGTTTTTTGGCCCTATTACACAGCCATCTAACCTGGAACTGAATTGAGACACATTGATTTGTTTTATTAATTATTAGGTTGATAGCTAATAAAAAATGAAGACAATAATGCCAAGAGTTTATTTTTACTCTGTATAAAATAGTACTTACCTTGTAAGTAAATTAATTATTGGCTAACACAGCAGGTTGATTTTAGTAAAACCTTGTAGGTAAGTCGGTCTTGTTATGACTACCATGTTTTTTTAATTAAAAATTAAGATCAAAAAGAACAAGAGTTCAAGGATAGTTTAGAAATTGTTTATTTATCTTAAAATGTTTACTTTTAAAACTTCCAAGCACAGCAATGCAGCAAAGTTCACATGGCAAGAAGCACTGCTCACAACGCACAAGCTGTGAAAGTAACACATTTCATTAAAACAGGCATCTCGAAGCTAAGCACCAAGTCACGCAAACAAACATGAGAAGGAGAAAGGAGCCTTTGGAAAATCAATTATCCCCGAGAGATCCTGAGTCAGCTGTTTTCAGCTACAAAAACTCCCTACTCTTACTGTTTTGTTATCCTCAGGTCCCCTCAACTGCTATTAAGTAATGGCAACGATTCTTGGAACTTTGAAAACAGATTTTAATATTTGTGGTTATATATATTTTGGGGGGATGGGAGGAGCAGAGATGGGGAGTAATGCAAACAGCCAAGGAGTGATGAAGTGAATAATATTGACCTTATACCAAGAACACTTCATGGGGACATAGTAAATAAGCCTCAGCAAATTTAAGAACTCAAGCAGAAGGGACTTGAACAAAAATTGAGGAAGCAGATGAAAAAGAAACTTTCTTCTTAAAAATATTTGCAAGAATTTTTTTTAAATGCAAATAAAGTTATTTTTCACCTTGTAAAATTAAAACATGTTTCTTATTGAAATGTGTGTAGGAAGTGCAGAAAACTATGATGACAAAATTAAAGTGATCCATAGAGAGACCTTCAAGATGTCAGAAGAGTAAGATGTGGAGATCACCTTCCTCCCACAAATACATCAGAAATACATCTACATGTGGAACAACTCCTACAGAACACCTACTGAATGCTGGCAGAAGACCTCAGACTTCCCAAAAGGCAAAAAACTCCCCACGTACCTGGGTAGTGTGAAAGGAAAAACAGAGACAAAAGAATAGGGACAGGACCTGCACCAGTGGGAGGGAGCTGTGAAGGAGGAAAGGTTTCAACACACTAGGAAGCCACTTCATGGGCGGAGATGGCGGGTGGCGGGGAGGGAAGCTTTGGAGCTGCGGAGGAGAGCGCAGCAACAGGGGTGCAGAGGGCCAAGCGGAGAGATTCCCGCACAGAGGATCAGTGCCGACCAGCACTCACCAGCCCGAGAGGCTTGTCTGCTCACCTGACAGGTCAGGTATGGGCTGGGAGCTGAGGCTCAGGCTTCGGAGGTCGGATTCCAGGAAGAGGACAGGGGTTGGCTGCATGAACACAGCCTGAAGGGGGTTAGTGCACCACAGCTAGCCGGGAGAGAGTCTGGGAAAAAGTCTGGAGCTGCCAAAGAGGCAACAGACCATTGTTTAGTGGAGCCTGAGGAGAGGGGATTCAGAGCACTGCCTAAACAAGCTCCAGAGACGTGAGCCGTGGCTCTCAGCGCGGACCCCAGCGATGGGCATGAGACACTAAGGCTGCAGCTGCAGCCACCAAGAAGCCTGTGTGCAAGCACAGGTCACTATCCACATCTCCCCTACCACTCCCAGGACCCTGTGCACCCTGCCACTTCCAGGGTCCTGTGATCCAGGGACGACTTCCCCAGGAGAACACACACGTACGTCAGGCTGTTGCAACGTCACGTTGGCCACTGCTGTCGCAGGCTTGTCCCACATCTGTACCCTTCCCTCCCCCGGCCTGAGTGAGCCAGAGCCCCCAAATCAGCTGCTACATTAACCCCGTTCTGCCTGAGCAAAGAACAGATGCCCTCAGGCGACCTACATGCAGAGGCAGGGCCAAATCCAAAGCTGAATCCCAGGAGCTGTGCGAACAAACAAGAGAAAGGGAAATCTCTCCCAGCAGCCTCAGGAGCAGTGGATTAAATCTCCACAATCAACTTTATGTACCCTGCATCTGTGGAATACCTGAATAGACAATGAATCATCCCAAATTGAAGAGGTGGACATTGGGAGCAACGACATATATATATATATTTTGCCCTTTTTCTCTTTTTGTGAGTGTGTATGTGTATGCTTCTGTGTGTGAGTTTGTCTGTATAGCTTTGCTTTCACAATTTGTCCTAGGGTTCGACTATCCTTTTTTTTTTATTACTCAAAAAATTTTTTTTCTTAATAATTATTTTTAATAACTTTATTTTATTTTACTTTACTTTATTTTATTTTATCTTCTTTCTTTCTTTCTTTCTTTTCACCTTTTTATTCTGAGCTGTGTGGAAGACAGGCTCTTGGTGCACCAGCCAGGTGTCAGGGCTGTGCCACTGAGGTGGGAGAGCCAAGTTCAGGACACTAGTCCAAAAGAGACCTCCCAGCTCCATGTAACATCAACAGCGAAAACCTTCCAGAGATCTCCATCTCAACGCAAAGACCCAGCTCCACTCAACGACCAGCAAGCTACAATGATGGACACCCTATGCCAAACAACTAGCAAGACAGGAACACAACCCCATCCATTAGCAGAGAGGCTGCCTAAAATCATAATAAGGCCACAGACACCCCAAAACACCACCAGACATGGACCTGTCCACCAGAAAGACAAGATCCAGCTGCATCCACCAGAACACAGGCACTAGTCCCCTCCACCAGGAAGCCTACACAACCCACTGAACCAACCATACCACTGGGGACAGACACCAAAAACAATGGAAACTATGAACCTACAGCCTGTGAAAAGGAGACCCCAAACACAGTAAAGCAGAGAAGCAGAGAAGACAGAGAAACACACAGCAGATGAAGGAGAAAGATAAAAACCCACCAGACCTAACAAATAAAGAGGGAATAGGCAGGCTACCTGAAAAAGAATTCAGAATAATGGTAATAAAGATGATCCAAAATCTTGGAAATAGAATGGAGAAAATACAAGAAACATTTGACAAGGAGCTAGAAGAACTAAAGAGCAAGCACACAGTGATGAACAACAAAATAAATGAAATTAAAACTTCTCTAGAAGGGATCAATAGCAGAATAGCTGAGGGAGAAAAACGGATAAGTGACCTGGAAGATAAAATAGTGGAAATAACTACTGCAGAGCAGAATAAAGAAAAAAGAATGAAAAGAATTGAGGATCATCTCAGAGACATCTGGGACAACATTAAATGCACCAACATTCGAATTGTAGGGGTCCCAGAAGAAGAAGAGAAAAAGAAAGGGACTGAAAAAATATTTGAAGAGATTATAGTTGAAAACTTCCCTAATATGGGAAAGGAAATAGTTAATCAAGTCTAGGAAGTATGGAGAGTCCCATACAGTATAAATCCAAAGAGAAACACACCAAGACACACATTAATCAAGCTATCAAAAATTAAATACATAGAACAAATATTAAAAGCAGCAAGGGGAAAATAACACATAAGGGAATCCCCATAAGATTAACAGCTGATCTTTCAGCAGAAACTCTGCAAGCCAGAAGGGAATGGCAGGACATATTTAAAGTGATGAAGGAGAAAAACCTACAACCAAGATTACTCTACCCAGCAAGGATCTCATTCAGATTTGATGGAGAAATTAAAACCTTTACAGACAAGCAAAAGCTAAGAGAGAGCATCCTTGGTGGCACAGTGGTTAAGAGTCCGCCTGCCGATGCAGGGGACATGGGTTCGTGCCCTGGTCTGGGAAGATCCCACATGCCACGGAGCGGCTGGGCCCAAAAGCCATGGCCGCTGAACCTGCACGTCTGGAGCCTGTGCTCCGCAGCAGGAGAGGCCACAACAGTGAGAGTCCCACGTACCGCAAAAAAAAAAAAACTAAGAGATTTCAGCACCACCAAACCAGCTTTACAACAGATGCTAAAGGAACTTCTCTAGGCAGGAAACACAAGAGAAGGAAAAGACCTACAATAATAAACCCAAAACAATTAAGAAAATGGTAATAGGAACATACATATCGAAAATTACCTCAAATGTAAATGGATTAATTCTCCAACCAAAAGACATATATTGGCTGAATTCATAAAAAAACATGACCCGTACATATGCTATCTACAAGAGACCCACCCTAGGGACACATACAGACTGAAAGTGAGGGGATGGAAAAAGGTGTTCCATGCAAATGGAAATCAAAAGAAAGCTGGAGTAGCAATTCTCATATCAGACAAAATAGACTTTAAAATAAAGACTATTACAAGAGAAAAAGAAGGACACTACATAATGATCAAGGGATCGATCCAAGAAGAAGATATAACAATTGTAAATATGCACCCAACATAGGAGCACCTCAATACATAAAGCAAATACTAACAGGCATAACAGGGGAAATTGACAGTAACACAATCATATTAGGGGACTTTAACACCTCACTTTCACCAATGGACAGATCATCCAAAATGAAAATAAATAAGGAAACACAAGTTTTAAATGATACATTAAACAAGATGGACTTAATTGATAGTTATAGGACATTCCATCCAAAAACAACAGAATACACATTCTTCTCAAGTGCTCATGGAACATTCTCCAGGAGACAGCATATCTTGGGTCACAAATCAAGCCTTGGTAAATTTAAGAAAATTGAAATTGTATCAAGTATCTTTTCCAAACACAATGCTATGAGACTAGATATCAATTACAGGAAAAATCTGTAAGAAATACAAACACATGGAGGCTAAACAACACACTACTTAATAACCAAGAGATCACTGAAGAAATCAAAGAGGAAATCAAAAAATACCTAAATACAAATGACAATGAAAACATGACGACCCAAAGCTATGGGATGCAGCAAAAGCAGTTCTACGAGGGAAGTTTGTAGCAATACAATCCTACCTTAAGAAACAGGAAACATCTCGAATAAACAACCTAACCTTACACCTAAAGCAATTAGGGAAAGAAGAACAAAAAAACCCCAAAGTTAGCAGAAGGAGAGAACTCATAAAGATCAGATCAGAAATAAATGAAAAAGAAATGAAGGAAACAATAGCAAAGATCAATAAAACTAAAAGCTGGTTATTTGAGAAGATAAACAAAGTTGATAAACCATTAGCCAGACTTATCAAGAAAAAAGGCAGAAGACTGAAATCAATAGAATTAGAAATGAAAAAGGAGAAGTAACAACTAACACTGCAGAAATACAAAGGATCATGAGAGATTACTACAAGCAACTCTATGCCAATAAAATGGACAAGCTGGAAGAAATGGACAAATTCTTAGAAATGCACAACCTTCTGAGACTGAACCAGGAAGAAATAGAAAATATGAACAGACCCATCACAAGCACTGAAATTGAAACTGTGATTAACAGTCTTCCAACAAACAAAAGCCCAGGACCAGATGGCTTCACAGGTGAATTCTACCAAACATTTAGAAAAGAGCTAACACCTATCCTTCTCAAACTCTTCCAAAGTATAGCAGAGGGAGGAACACTCCCAAACTCATTCTACGAGACCACCGTCACTCTGATTCCACAATCAGACAGAGATGTCATGAAGAAAGAAAACTACAGGCCAATATCACTGATGAACATAGATGCAAAAATCCTCAACAAAATACTAGCAAACAGAATCCCACAGCACATTAAAAGGATCATACACTATGATCAAGTGGGGTTTATCCGAGGAATGCAAGGATTCTTCAATATACACAAATCAATCAATGTGATACACCATATTAACAAATCGAAGGAGAAAAACCACATGATCATCTCAGTAGATGCAGAGAAAGCTTTTGACAAAATTCAGCACCCATTTATGATAAAAAAAACCCTCCAGAAAGTAGGCAGAGAGGGAACTTTCCTCAATATACTAAAGACCATATATTACAAACCCACAGCCAACATCATCCTCAATGGTGAAAAACTGAAACCATTTCCACTAAGATCAGGAACAAGACAAGGTTGCCCACTCTCACCACTCTTATTCAACATAGTTTTGCAAGTTTTAGCCTGGCAATCAGAGAAGAAAAAGAAATAAAAGGAATCCAAATTGGAAAAGAAGAAGTAAAGCTGTCACTGTTTGCAGATGACATGATACTATACATAGAGAATCCTAAAGATGCTACTAGAAAACTACTAGCGCTAAACAATGAATTTGGTAAAGTAGCAGGATACACAATTAATGCACAGAAATCTCTGGCATTCCTATACACTAATGATGAAAAATCTGAAAGTGAAATTAAGGAAACACTCCCATTTACCATTGCAACAAAAAGAGTAAAGTATCTAAGAATAAATCTACCTAAGGAGACAAAAAACTTGTATGAAGAAAATTATAAGTCACTGATGAAATAAATTAAAGATGATATAAATAGTTGGAGAGTAATGCCATGTTCTTGGATTGGAAGAATCAACATTGTGAAAATGACTCTACTACCCAAAGCAATCTACAGATACAATGAAATCCCTATCAAACTACCACTGGCATTTTTC